AGAACTACATGTGAAAAATAATCCAATTTATTTCGTCCAACTTGTACTCGCGTGGATCAGTGAATATGTATAAAAACCCAAATTTTTTCCATGTTAACTTGTGTTTCTGGTGAAGTATAATCCTAACATAGACTGCACAATGAGAGGTGCAAAGATGTTATGCTCGTTACACGTAGACCATATTAGAACTTCCGCATGGTTTTATTTTTAACAGAAAGATGCAGCTCCACCCAAGAAACCCACTCATGGTATAATCTACGTGGCCAGCTCTTATCCACCTTGGCAGCATGTCACCCTTACCACACTGAAGGAAATGTACGTCAAGCTGGGGGGGAACTTCCCGGATAACAGGGATATTATGACTCGGATGAAAGAACTACCGGAAGTCAAGAGCGCCATGAAGAAGCTGATGCCATTTGTACAACATGTCAAGGTACTAGAAGTAAATCTTGACTTCTGCATTCTACATAGTTCATTACTAACCTCGTCTGCTATCTGAAGCAGTTCAGGAAAAAATGAAATAAAAATAAACAATTGTTAACTGTTTCATTATATTAAAAAGAACTAGAATCTTACACTGCACATTCTCCTTTTTTTTAATTTGGCACCTCTCTTTTCTATTAACCCCTATACTTACTCGCAGCTACTCAGAACGATCTCTTAACTTCGTTACTATTTCCATGTCGTTTATCTTCCTTTGAGTTTTCATTACAAGATTAATCGCGTGACGTTATTGTGTGACAGGAATGTGTAGAACGTGACGGTCCGTCGGCCTTGGAGACAACTCTACCGTTTGATGAAAGACAAGTTCTTGAGGAGAACAACGCATTTCTTTCAAAAGCTCTCGAAGTAAGATTTAATTTGATGTGTAAAATATCGTTGCAAAACTTTCCTTGTAGTTAAGTTACATTTTTCTTTTTTTGTGTGCTAAATTCAGTCGAATCATGATCATCAACAGTTTTCCCATGGGTACAGGAGGGGAGGGGAGGGGGTGTGTCCTTAACTTTATATTGGAATTTCAAGGCAATCCATGATATTTTATGATAAATCATCAACTTTCTCATCACGGAGAAAGTCCTATGTACCCCAGCGATTCCCCCCTCTCCAGCCACGCTCTTGATTACCCTTATTTAGTTGAAAGCTTGTAATTAACATGTGGTGAAGCTTTGGAGCTAAGTCTTGAGTTTGATTTTAGCTGGTTAGTGTGGAAATCAAGCCATCAAGTGAAGCTGACAAAAGAGTTCAGGAGGACTGTGCACCAGGAAAACCATTCTCGGTCTTCACAGCACAGGAGAGTCAGGTTTGTTTTTTGTGATTTCATGTGACATGCAATTTGGGTGACAAAGAAACAGACTTAGTCCGGACTACGGTAACGTCGTGATGTTAGTGAAAGATAGGAATAACCTCAAGTCACAAAGTCACTTTTAAAACCTCAACTGAATGAGCTATCAATGTAAAAAATGTGTGAAGGCGCTGTCTCATTGGAGAGAATCTTTCATTAGATACAGCAATTGCCCAAAATGTTACGAGCTGAGTATTATGTTTTAATTTGGATGATTTCGAAATCTTAAGTTCTTGGCTAATTGTATTTGTTATTTTTGTGATGAAGGAAAATGAAAGTATAGACTAAGTCAGTGTTCAGCTCCAGTTCATATAGGGAATGTCCGTTACTTCCTTTATCACTGTGAAAGTAGCAGAACTAAAACCGTTTTACAGATTGTTTCACACAGTTGTCGCTTGATGCAAGAAGAGGTTGGTCTGGCAAGGGTGAAATGAGCTCCAATACATTGATAGAGGTTTTTGGTCAGATCGTATATCGCCTCACGCACAACGTAACAGAACACTACAACCCAGAAGAGCCTGAATTCACGACAGAGTCTTTTGGCTACGACCCACTGCTAAGCACAGGTAGAGAATGGAATTATGAACCTGTTGATGAACTGATATACCAAGAGTACAGCGACAGAGAAGCCACAAACTCGAACTTTTTCGCATATAACAACATTAATGTCCAGGTTAGAAACGCTTTCTTACCAGAAGACAGTGAGGAGACAAGGGAACAGAACGGTAAAGATGAAGAAATGGCTCGGAAACGTCTTCGACCATCCTTTGTACAGACAGTTTGTAAATCGATGTATATTGGAGCTTTGATTTCTTTTCTTTCGGCTGTTTTCATCGCCTTATTTTACCTGTTGATCTCTTTTGTATGTTACAAAACTATTCTCCACTGTCAAAACTACCCAAAAGAATTGATTCCGATCCGTGTACAATGGATGAAAACTATTTCTGATGCGATTTCGTCTTTTTTCTATTACTTCTGGTTCTTTGGTATCGCGTTATTCCTTTTCCGTCCATTTCAGTTGAAAGGAGTGAGGAAAACATTGTTCTTGATTTTGTTTGTCTCGTACTGTTTGGACGCGAGTTATCGCCTTGTATTGGTTAAGGTGGGAGTGTGGTATTATTTGGCACCAAAAGTCTACCAAACTCCACTTTATTCGTTTTTCTTTCTAAGCGTTTGCTTACAGCTTTATGTTTTGGGAAAACAATTTCGTGCACGACCTATAAAAATGCTTCTTGTTCTGATGTGTAAAATGTTATTGCCATTTTGTTTACCTGTTGTTTTCGGTATTTTCCTTTCTGATGTTATTTATGGAATATACATAACAAAACCCATCGAAGGAAAGCTTCTAATTGCTCTCTTTGCCCCTGTTGTTGCGGTGGTTTTGAAAATTGTGTCACGACTTTGTGTTCAGCGATTAAGGAACATCACTCATCCGGGATACTCTTATGTGTTATTGGTGCCTCTGTATTACGGCACAGCGGTTGTCTTGAGAGCTTTGCAAGCAGATCTGGACGATCTTCCATACATCGCCTTACTTGGAGTCATTCACGGTGTTGCTGAGGTTGTGGAACGTAGTGTTATGGTTGTTGTTGATCACACTTGTACCGTGCTTTGGAAAAGAAAATTGGCCCCCTGGGGAAGTTTCCGTACTCCTCGCCGCGAAAGACTTATGGCTGATATCGCCATTATAAGCATGTTGTATGAATCTACTGCTGTAATATCTGTTAACGGATTGTTTTGCTTGTATCAATACGTCTACACAGAAAATGACTCTATCATAAACTTGCTCAAGACATTCGCAGTTCACACTTCAGTTCAACTGGTAATTGAGTGGTTTTTTACCAGTGTGTCTCTGGCGATCGAGACTCGTTATCAGAATATGGCTGTCATGGCTGTTTGGCGAAGGAGATGGAAAAGACACATTTTGGCAGCGCTTGTAAATACAGTACCACTTGCTGTATGGAATAGTGTCTGTATGTTAATTATTTTGCGCGCGTCTTACTCAAACATAGGGTTTAAACAGCCTTGTAAAATGCCATTTTCTTAAGTGCCGACTAGAAAAAATTTACAGAAATTGTTAATGATCGCCTTGTTACACATTTCTTTAGTGGGACCAAAAAGGACTGTCGCTAATTCTTCTCATATAACAAGAGCAACATTGAAGAGAAGGAAGATATTACACTCACACGAACGAAACTGAAATGAATCAGTAAAGTGAACTTTACTAATTAAGTTTTTTAGTCGCTCAGTCGATAGCTCATTAGGATTAAATGATCAAAATGCATGTGTGAGTGTGTAAAGTAGCAGGACCAATAAAGGGAATTCTCTCATGGTTAAAATTCTGGTGGCCATTAACATCGAGAAGATTTTTTATGTTATTAGTTGGTGTATTTTCAAAACCAATAAATCAGTAAATCGTCGATTTTTTAAATCTTTTTTAAAACAAAACATAATATACTTCTGAATAACAGGGTGACTTTCTATAGAAACTGGTGCTGCGTCGGTGGGAGAGTATATCAGGGTAATTTAGTATTACCAACTGAGTTGATAGCGCAAATTGGTCACAGTAAAGCTGACGTTTCGAGCGTTAGCCCTTCGTGAGAGTTAATTACGTTATCAATTCAGATGATAATTCTAATTTATCCTATAATATACTTCTGATGGATACAGAGATTCACAAAGACGATGGGCTTATCGAGGCGGTTGAGTGCTGAGCGCGCTGTACAGATGCTAATGTGCTGCTAAGAAGCACTCCAGGCAACGCAATCTTTTCTTTACTTAGAAGTATCGAAATGACAACAGCTGAATCTTGGGAGCTTCAATTGAAAGGCAAATTCACGCAAGGGAATTTTCAAACTAATGAAACGGAACTAAACTCTGGACTGTGTGATGTAAAATTATACTTTCTTTTTTTTCTCCACTACACAACCTGTTATTTGAACTTCAAGTTCCTTTGATAGGATGAAAGAATCTTGGAGAAACCAAACCAAGGATAATTAAAAACGAATCAGCATATTCCTTTTCTGATACATAAATACCGAGGAATCCTTCTCTTTATCATTTTCTTCAGGTTTTTAATGTTTTTTTCATTGATGAACTTCTGATTTGAGCTAATGAGGTGTTAACGCTAGTCAAGGAAGTGTCTGAAGTATGAAATTTCTCATCCGCCATGAAATTTCTTATCCGCCATAAAATTTCTTATCCGCCAAGAAATTGACGATACGGAAACAAATTAAGAACGAAAGTTATTTGATGTGCCTTTAATGGAAACGAAATGGTTTTGATGTTAGTAAGATAGAAATCCTTACTTTCCCATGGTACAATGGTTGTTTGTATGCATTGGGTGCAGTTTCAAGATCTCGCTTGCAATGGGCTAGAGCATACAAGAAAGGTCTTTAAGTGTCTTTGAAGTACACTATCTGTCTCTCTCTCTGTCTGCCTGCCCAACCGTCTCCATTTCCCTGTTTGTCTCTTTATCTGTTTTTTCTGTATTGCTGTCTTTGTCTGTATATCTGTTTGTCACTTATGTTGGTTATTCTTCCTCGCAGACAAATGGTGTATGTGGTTCTAGTGGCGCCGTAGAGTTAACAGATAAATCTCCCATCCCATCTGAGAAACAACCGTCCCCAGTTTGCCGATTTGTTAATGTCAAACTATGTGGAGTTGAACCGGCCCAAGGTGCCAAGGGAAATCAAGCCACAGTGCTGCTAGAGAACCCACAAGGACAGTACCTGTTGAACTTGGACCAACTCACACGCGAGGTTACTAAAAATTTAATACTCGTAAAGCGCCGGTGTTGTTACTTGAGTAGATACCAGTTTGCTTTCGTTGTGTATTTCGCTTTATTCGAGAAGAATAAGCGTGCATATGGTGCTGAGGCTTTGGATTTACGTTTCAGCTTTCTTTTAAGTTTCATGAACGTTGCTCAGTTTTCTTTGTGTGAGCAAATTAGCGGTTCGTTGGAGCAACTGTTGATAATATGTTACTGTTGATTTTCTCTTTTTTAGAAACAAGTTTGTCATCGCAGTTATGCATATAAAGCATTTCAGCAGCAAGGTTCGTCTGAACGTGAGATGATTGTGTTATTTGATGTTTTTGATTCTTGCGGTTTTAGGTTGCGGCGGTTTTCGGTCTTAGAGGAAGAAAACTTACACTGTCGGCATCGTCCAGCTGTGATTCACGTGAGTAACTCAAGTTTTTAAACTGAAACGTAAAAGTTTTATCGTAGAGAAGAATGAAAACTTTTAGAGAATTTGTTCTTATCCCTCGACAATAGATGAAGTGTGTAGCGCAGTGAAAAAAAATGAAATTTAACAACTCGAAACTCTTCTTACTATTATTTACAGTATTGAGGGTTTCAGAGAAGAATTCGAATTGGGAAAGTCGCATGAAGCAGTGAAAATATTAAGTGTTGACTCATAGTGGTACTTGGGTGAAAAAGGTTTTCAGTAAATTGCGGGTTTCGTCTGATCTTGTCTTACTGGCGATCTGCCATCTTGACCTTACAGGTTCACACTGACACGATATGTCGAAAGTGGTTCATTCAGAGCTCTAATTTTCTCGTATTTTTCAATGATTTTTGTTGACAGCCCTGACCAGTCAAGACGTCATGAAATACAGTGGACAGTGTCTTTACGCTTTTATTGCGAAGAATTAACACGATGAAAATGCGGCGGCGCATTATGGTGCCAAAATCAAGGTGCTTCTCAGCGAAGTAAAACGAATTTAAAATTCCATAGGAATGAACTTTTAATTTTAGATCACTTTGAGTATTGCGGCCAAACTCCCTGTAAGTAGTTTCTATGGAGAATATAGGAAAGGAGCTTTCTCTCTCTTACACTTTTTCTGTCGATGTCTTCACACTTCCCCTCCCCGCTTCAGACAAATTACAATTGAAGTGGGATGGGAGGGGATCTTGGTGAAATTTTGCTGTTTAAATTGGCCTTAATATATTGAAATTCAAACTGATTCGAACTCTCTTTAACAATAATTACAAAATGGTTAACGGGGAAATTAATTTACATTTCTGGCACTAGCCCTTTGAGAGGTTTGGGTTGTGCGTGTGGAGAAATACTTCTGTTGTAATGAATTGTGTGTTGTCGAAAAATACTCCTGTTGTGATGAGTTACAGAACGTCACGTGAGGTGGATATTCAGCTTGCATTTTAAGGGTAATTAAAAGAAAAGACGAAAATATGGTTGCAGTGCTTGATCTTGTTTTCCCTTCCACCTGTGTTAGGCATTCGGTCAGTGGAGACGAACGAATAGCTGAGCGAGTGGAGTCGGCCGTCCGTCCCTCTTAGTTTCTCCCGGTTTTTTCAGTTTTTCTTCCGCTCGCCCGCTCTCCAACCCCCCCCCCCCCCCTTTTTTCATCATCATTCCCCAACACTGACTGTCTGGAACAGGCTTTGTTTTTTGTGGGCTCCCCCCTGTGCAGGCAATGAATACAATTCGACAGCTTCTGTTTTCGGGTAATAATCTACTTCACTGCGCAGGGGAAATCCCGTACAGTTTTGGTAAGACCATTATCTCTTGGTAATCTGTTCGAATTGTGATTACAACACCGTATCGCTTTGGAAGATGTTCATACGAAGATGAAATAGTAAGCAGTACACTTATAGAGGTGTTTGGTCAAGTCTGTTTCATTACGCGTGCAGTGGATCAGGTTCCTATAACCTTGAAGAACTTCCTCCGATCCGAGTTTGGATGTAGCACCGCCGATATTGCTGTGGAAGATATTGTTCATACAAAGGTAGGATGGCAACCAGTACCCTGATAGAGGTTTTTGGTCAGATCGTATATCGCCTCACACGCAGCGTAACAGAACACTACAACCCAGAAGAACCTGAATTCACGACAGAGTCTTTTGGCTACGATCCACTGCTAAGCACAGGTAGAGAATGGTATAAAGAGCCTGTTGATGAACTGATATACCAAGAGTACAGCGACAGAGAGGCCACAAACTCGAACTTTTTCGCACATAACATTAATGTCCAGGTTATAAACGCGTTCTTACCAGAAGACAGTGGGGAGACAAGGGTAGATCAGAACGTTAAGGAGGAAGAAATGACTTGGAAACGTCTTCGTCCATCCTTTTCACAGACAGTTTGTAAATCGATGTGCTGTGGAGCGTTGATTTCGTTTCTTGCAGCTGTGTTAATTGCCATGGTTTACCTGCAGATCTCCTATG